TCAGATCGCCGACGGGTTTAATTCGAATTTTTTTTTTTTCTTAATTAACGATGATAAAAGTAATAAAATGACTAATAAGAGGTTATAATTATTTGCGTGGGGGACATCAGTTCGTAGCAGCAACACAACCAATAAACTCGCTAGCTTTTGTGCTGGACGGAGTCAATTTTGGAGCATCTGATTTTGCTTACACTGCATACTCCATGGTACATACACTATTTCATTCATTACTTAATATGTTTTTCTTTTTCGCATGATTTTTTATATTAAAATCTGACTCTTTCGATAATTGATTATGATAAACCAGGTAGGAGTTGCGGCCATAACCATTGCAGCAATAATATACATGGCAAAGTTCTATGGTTTTCTAGGAATATGGATAGCACTTACAGTCTATATGGGTCTCCGAGCCGTTACTGGAATTGCAAGGTAATATTGTTAGGCCTTAAGTAAATTGTATCCACACATTATAGTAGACGGACAACACATGACTCGTGCTAAATTAAATTGTGCAGGATAGCAACAGGAACCGGACCCTGGACTTTCTTGCGTGGACGATCCCCTTCATCTTCCTAGGACTTAGTTTATAATTATAGTGAGTTGCATCTTTGTCTGTCTTTCTTAATTTTTGGTTTTTGTTTCTTGAGCTTTTACATTTTGTTTGAAAAAGAGTTATCTGTATTGTTATCTTCGCAGCTGCAGATAAATAATTGGATAAAACATTTTTCTATTTCTGCATATATATCCCATAACTGCACAAGGAGCCCTGGCTGGCTAGACATTTTCTTATTGAAAAGTTTTGTCAGTCTAAGGTGCTTCAATGTTGTGCAATTTGTTATTTCTTAAATTTACTTACACTAGCATAAAACTATATAAAGTCTGAAAAAGTTGTGAGCAATATCAAATTTGAAAATCAGTCTAACTAGTCATAAGATCTTCTTTAACATTAAAGGAAGTTTGACTGTACTTTTAATTATCTTAATATTTCTAGTAAGTATTTTCTAAAGTTTTCAACTACTACTTTATTTTGAAACTTGTATCATTTTACTTTAAATCTCCACTTTATTTAGGAGCTCACAGGCTTGGTAGCACTTTTAATTATTTCAAAACTAATAGTAAGTTTTAGCTCTAGCTATTCAGTTCTTGATTACTATTTCTTTGTCTTGTATTTAACTCAAAACATCTCATATCACAATATATATCAGTAATTAACTTGAAGGCTATAACTTAAAGCCACAAGGAGCAAGATGCAAGACATACAAAAGGCAAAGAACCAAGTCCACAGCAACAGTAAGAACACACGATGCAGTGGTCATAAACCTTTCAACCGATCTAAGCAACATGAGAAACCACAATCTGATCAATAACAGGTCCACAAAGAGATCCAATATCCTTCTTCTTGGTATGGTAAAAACCACTAAAGAAAGTAATTCTCGTTCTTGCCTCAACCGCCTTAAACTTCAAACTTGCTGTCTTAACATCACCTCCACCAACTGAAGTGTGTGACACTTTCAATGTATTTGTAGCTGCAAAAGCTTCAACCATCATGGCACCATGACAATCGTTTTTAGCATCTCCAACAACAAAGGAGAGGCTATAGGTTTGACCTGGTGAAGTCCTAATAACTTGCGCAATAGCACTTTCTTTCCCTGCCACAAGCTCAATCGCAGCTTTTCCAAAGGGAACATTAAAATTCTTGGAGTCTATGAACTTCACTGCCTTGAGAGACTCAATGATCCATCCAGGTAAAGGAGACGTAACATCTTCTTGTTTAGGTGGGAGAAGCACTCCTTGCGTTGAGTTCACAAGACGGTAAGGACCTTCTTCGAACCCTCCGTTTTTCACCAAGTTACCTTCGGTGTACTCTGGATGAACAAGCTCTTTAATGGCCACAGCGTCCAACAACGGACCACAAGCAGGATCTTCTTGAACTCCAGGGTTATGGAAAGTGACCGTAACTTCAGAAGTCTTGGGGACAAAAGCCCACGCGTAGACATCACCTCCAAAGCTGTTGTAGAGTGTCTGAAGTGGTAAGTCACCGGTCTGAGGAGGGACAGAGACACGAAGGGATTCCTCTTGTGCACAAGTTCTTGATGCACCGAAGGTAAGTGAGTAGAGAGAGCCTGGCTTTACTGTTAGCTTCTGAGAGATTGTTGCTTCGTTTCCGAGCCTCACGGCGTGGACACCGTGAGCAACGGGGAAGAACATGCCTCCCGGTTGAGGTCCACCGGCGATGTACTCGACGAAACCGGTGGTTTCCCATTCGGGTAAGGCGGTTTTGCCGATTAGGACTGTCTTTTTCATGTCGGTTTTCTTTGGGGACTCCTCGAAGTTGCCATTACGAAGGTATCCTGAAGACATAAACATAAAACAAATCTCAGTCCTACAGACACATATAGAATTTCTATTCTACAAAAAAAAAAGCTTTAATATGTCTCTACATTCAGTCTATAATACTCTCTTCCTTTTAAAATAATCTATGTTTTAATTTCAAAAAAAATATTTTACATTTTTAATGTATATAATAATGGTAAATTATAAACTTCGAAGATATTAATTACTAAATTTTGATTCGTTAAAAATCTTAGGAAATAACTAAACACAGAAAATAATAAAATAACGTATTTATAATTAAATTTTTTATGTGTTTTATTAATAAGTTTGAAAACTCTAAAATATATATTATTTTGAAACACATGAAGTAATATTTAATATAAAATTATTCTAAACTTGTTTTCCTAAAATAAAAATTGCTATTTTCTATTTATAAAAAATAATAACATTAATATATATTTTATTTTATTTAGAGATTACTACAAATCAAATTTCATTTACTATATATTATAAAGTTTCTTTATTTTTTATCAAAAAAAATTCTATTATATAATAAAAATAGTAATATATATTGGAGATGGAGATGGTTTATAAACACCAAATCTTAACTCAGAATCTTAAGCAGAGTAGACCCAGCTTCAAAACCCTAAGAGAGAGAGAAAGTGATTTACCTTCATAAGCAGGAGCTCCAATAGCAGCACCACATAAGACTAGTAAGAGAGGTAGAACAATGGCTTTAGGCACAGCCATTTTCTGTTTCACTCAGAGAAGAGTGAGTGAGGAGCTTCAGGAGAAGGAGGGAGAGACGGTTAGACGTTGAGAGGTTTGTGAGAGGAAGAATAACTCGAGATGCTGCGACTTTATACAAGAAAAGTGGGGAAGAGAGAGAGGAAATAACGTAGAAAGAGGGAATGGAAATGGACCCCATTGATGCATTTTGTCTCTCTGTCTTGCTGAGATGAAACCGACTTTCTCCTTAATCCATGCTCTCTTAATACGTATTGGCACTTGTGCCCTGCCCTCATAACTTTTCACACTCACCCACATGGTGTGTTAGAATACGTACCTAGGCTTAGATAAAAAAAAGGAGTCAATATTAAAGATTATATAGTTTTAAGGCAAATCAAATAACTCTAATTCAGTAAGAGATATAACAGAGACTTTAGTAACGAATTGCATGCACTTTGGTATGTTTATGAATGTTACCTAATACTAAAAAAATTGTTCTAAGTTCAAAGTTTGTTTACCAAATGTCAACGAGAAAGTATTATTGTTTGGTAAGATCGTATAAGAAAATACACATGGTTTTTTGAATATTCGTAACGGGATTTGCGGCAGATGCAACGGTAATTAAGGAACGAGAGAGAAGGTGTTGGCATTTTTCTGGATTTGGCTGGTTCCAAGAATAATTGGCGTTTGAAATGAATATTTCAATTCCATACATAAGGGGCAAGAAAATCAGAGGGCATGTGCAATAGGTTGTGTTAATACTTAATAGTCAGCGAATGCATGTGATAATACATCACCATATTACGTTTGTGTGGGTCCTTCTCATTTTCCACTCTATGTCTATTTATGCCCCTTCAAACCTTGTACGCCCATGCGGCCTTGTTTGCTTCATGTTGCAAGTTTTGGTTCGAGATGGTTTAATATTTTTTTTATATAGTAACCATAAAGTTTTACGAGTACTAGACGCAATCACTCTCTAGATACTATAATTAGTAAGAAAATAACTAGATACTATGCATGCATGTGCTTTGCTCGGGAATATAAACCTAAAAAACAGTTATAAATACAGATGGTGGTAACAGAATATTATTTTAGTAACTTTTACGATCAAATAAAATAGTATAGAGTTTGAAAACGTACTTTGAGGATTCTTTGTTTATAGAAAGGCCCAGACTTCAGTATTAGAATGCTATCAAAAAACAGTTATGGTCCTTAAGAGGCATACAAAAGAAGTCTTGGTTGGGGCTGATTATTCAGAGTAAAACTTGAAACACCAATAGTTCAATACAAAATAACTTCTCATCAGCAGATGTTGTTTTGATAGTGATCGCATTGATTCGTCCAAGTAACATTTTGAGACGTTCCTTTAAGTACTACTCCTACAAAGCATGTGCATCCAAGAAACTAGATCAATACATTTTACTGAGTTAAATATCGAACTGTGTCAATCAAACTTAGCCAAACTCTAACCATTTTTTTTTCGTTCAGAAAACACATGTAAACAGAGATGAAGCAAGAACCACTAAACTAAACGCTCTCAGTAATCAAGCCCAACAGGAAAGAGGCTAAATGCCTGAGTTAAAAGGAGAGGAAAAGCCCATAGATGTGTTCTTGAACATTCATCATCTCCATTAACATTCACATCATATCTTCCCAAGATTAGTGGGCTAATAATATTAAAATTCAATTTCTCCTTTTAGAAAAGTCCGGGTAATTTTTTTTTCTTTTTGAACTTAATATCTTCCAAAATTGTCGTGGAGGAGAATGAGATTTACAGCTGACGTGTAGGCATATGATTGGACAAGAAAACTTATGGCTTGTATCATTAAAACACCGTTGATTAAGCTCTGAGATGAGAAAGCCATCTATCCATCCATCCCACCCTCTCTGCCTCCAAAGAGTCCAAAACAATCTCAGAAACTCACAAAAGAGACGACCTTCTCTTCTCTACCCTCTATATACTAATTAACTAATTAATGATAATTGTATTTTATTAATTATTATCGTCCTAAGTATTAATTTCTTTTTAATCAAGAAAAAAAATAAAAAAATAAAAAAAAAGAGCAAAGCGATCTCATCTTAGATTTTTTGTTACGCTTGGAGGAATAATTGTTTTTGGTTCGGGTCCTGTATGGCCTTTCACGTAGCTTGCCCAATCACTTGGTATGTTTATCTTATCCCCTCTAACTATCTCTTCACTATCTCTCGATCGATTAATCCCTATCTCCATCGCAGCCGTCGGATCTGTTTCTGCTCGTTAGGGTTCCCTCGCGATCTCCGTACCGCCAATTCGAAACGCGAGTTTCTGACACGTGTGAACCGAGTGGAGGAATCTCTAATCGATGATCCTTGGCGATCTTCTTCTAAGGTTGTTACGGTTCAGGTCAAGGTTCCTAAGGTCCCTCCCGCGGATTCGATTCCGGTGATTGGAGATGTTGATGAAGCCGCGGCGGCGCATAAGAAGCGTGTTTCTCTTCAGAGACAAGCGGCAGTTACGGTTGAAGCTGCTGAGGATTACGCTCGGAGGTTCGAATCTGGTGGTGATGAGGTAGTGATTATGATTATGATTATGATTATGATTATGATTATATGATGATTATGATTATGATTATGATGATGTGATGATGATGATGATGATTGTTTTTTTTGTAACAGCTTTATTGTAAGGATCAGGTTGGTGAGGAGTTAGGTCAGTGTGGAGTGAATGTGATGTGTAGAATGTGTTACTTGGGAGAGAGTTATGGGAGTGAGAGAGCGAGGAGGATGGTTTCTTGTAAAAGCTGTGGGAAGAAGTATCATAAGAATTGTGTTAAGTCTTGGGCTCAACATAGAGGTGTATACTTCACTCAAATCAGTTCGCTGGTGTAGTTTCCTATTTTCTCTAGCTTGGTAAGGCTTTTTTAAAGTCTTATTGTTGTATGTTGTAGATTTGTTTCATTGGAGTTCATGGAGTTGTCCTTCGTGCAGAGTTTGTGAGGTTAGTTTAAGTTTGTTTTCAGTTTCTATACAGTGCCAGTCCTTAGCAATGTTTGACTAAGTTGACAGAATCTTCATATTTCTTAGGTCTGCCGTAGAGCAGGAGATCCTAACAAGTTTGTGTTCTGCAAAAGGTGTGATGCCGCTTACCATTGCTATTGCCAGCATCCTCCGCACAAGGTATCTTTCAGATAGTTTGTTCATGAGATTATATATTTATGAGCCTCCTACAGTAAATTGGCTTATTTATGTTATCTGGACCGTGCAGAATGTAAGTTCGGGGCCATATTTGTGCCCGAAGCATACAAGATGCCACAGCTGTGATTCTACTGTCCCTGGAAATGGCCTTAGTGTCAGGTAGACATTCTTTGTCTCTTGTAGGATAGGTTAGTTATATAAGTGACTAGAACAAGGAGAGTTAAGGAATTTCAGGAGGCTTTAGCTTTTAAAATTCATTGACCATTTTTTCTCTCTCTTTTTGATTTTTATGTAACAGGTGGTTTTTATCGTATACTTGCTGTGATGCTTGTGGTAGATTGTTCGTGAAGGGAAATTATTGTCCCCTATGCTTGAAGGTATTTTAATCTAAATGCGTCTTAAACTTTATTATTTAGTGCGTCTACCATTGGGCAAAACATGCAGTTTCTGCTACATTTGTACCTCTTTAGTGTTGCGTTAACCAGGTTGCTTATCTTGTGTAGGTGTATAGGGATTCAGAATCAACGCCAATGGTATGCTGTGATCTTTGTCAGCGCTGGGTGCATTGCCATTGCGACGGAATAAGGTTCTTCATTATTATATTCCGTAGATATAGTTATTTTGCGGTTGCATCTGTGTACTTGATTTGATACCTTTAATATGCATAGAAAAATGTATTTCAGTTATATTAAATCTGGAACGGTTTGCTTTTGAACATGCAGTGATGAGAAATATCTTCAGTTTCAAGCTGATGGGAACCTACAATATAAATGTGCCACATGTCGTGGGGAGTGTTATCAGGTATGCATGTTCCTGTTTCAGTGCCCTTTCTTCTTAGTCACTCGGGGCACTCTTATTGTTTCTTTTTATTTGTAGTAGTAGTACTCGTAGAGCTGAGGGCTTTCCTTTCAATTTGCTAGTGTGCTAATTAATCAGATAAGTTTATTATTCTGTGTTGGTTCTCAGGTGAAGGATCTTCAGGATGCAGTTCAAGAACTTTGGAAGAAGAAAGATATGGTGGACACAGAGTTGGTAGCTAGTTTACGGGCTGCTGCTGGTTTGCCAACAGATGAAGAAATATTTTCGATGTCTCCGTTTTCAGATGATGAAGAATATGGTCCTGTGTCTGGGCGTTCAGTGAAGCTTTCTATCAAAGGACTATTGGATAAATCCCCAAAGAAAAGCAAGGAGTACAGAAAACATGCTAGTAAAAAAGGTCATCATACTAAGTCAGAGCTCCAACAAAATTCTGAAGTTCATCACGGGATGGAATCTCAGAGAAGCAGGCTAAGTGGTGCTAAAATTGATACTTTTGGAATTCAGATAAATGAACGATCTGATGTCCGCTCTTCTGTGGCTGGAATTTGCTCAACACATGAACCTAAGATTGTGAAACACAAGAGGGTTGATGAAGTTATGGTGACTGATGAGGAAAAGCCATCAAGGATAGTGAGAATAAAGTGTAGCAACAAGCCTCATGATTCTGATAGCGAGGACACCCAAAGGAAGGCAAAGAAGTTGGTCATTAATCTCGGTGCGAGGAAAATAAATGTCAGTGATTCTTCCAAGTCTAACGTTGTATCGCATTCGAGAGACAAAGATCAGTCTTCAGGGGAGGTACGAACTTTGAAGATCTCTGGAAGGTTTGGGAAAACTCAATCTGAAGAAAGTAAAGGTACATTTGGGTCGATCACACAGTTCCCTGCATCAACAAGCGCAGGCAGTCATGTAGATGACAAAACATCCACCTCACCATCTTTACAGAAAGAAGCTAGACCTATGCTGAAATTTAAACTCAGGAAACCTGATTCGGGAGATCAGACATCTTTGGCTACAACGCAATCTGAGGATGAAAAGCTGAGTTCTGGTAAGGGTCAAAGATCAAAGAGAAAGAGACCTTCAAGTTTAGTGGACAATACCTCTTTGGAGGAAGACGGTGAAGCTACAACACCTTTTCATCAAGATAGTTCAAGGAGCGATGAGATGATGGATGCTAACTGGATTTTGAAAAAGTTGGGTAAAGATTCAATAGGAAAGAGAGTCGAAGTCGAAGGATCTCAGAACTCATGGTAAGTTTGATCTACTTTAACTTTATTAAGCGATTGTGTTTCGTGTTATATTTTTTTTTTTGTATCAAATCCAACTTTTAGAACTAATATTTTTTTTTTCTGTTAAAAGGAATAAAGGAACAGTAACAGACGTTATTGGAGACACGTCCACATTGTCGGTTTCGCTAGATGATGGAAGCATGAAGACATTTGAACTTGGAAAGCACAATGTCCGCTTCATACCGCAGAAGCAAAAGAGGTCGAAGAGTTGATTGGACCATCAAGCAGCGTATTAGTGACTAACTTTATGTGTGCGAGCCATCTACATGAGAATACCTGGCGCTGAGGCATTTAGTGAGTTTTAAACTAGTTTTGGTGGTAATTATCAGAACCACGCCTACTTTGTAGATATTTGTGATACTGGAGGTTGATGATCTTGTTAAGGGTCGTTCCCTGTAATTCAGGCTAGGTTGATAATAAAACTTTTTGGAAACTCATGTAACATTTTTCCTTTGAATTCAAGCATGCGAGTGGAACCCACAGTTCTACTCTGTTACTAAATGATCAAATATGGTATATCTAGTTGTCAAACTGAAACTAAACAAGCCAACACAATCATCATAATCTAAATCTTGAATTGCAAGGGTTAACAAACCTCAACTTGCTTTCTTTGCAGACATGCCTTGCTGAGATCCCAATGGATGAAATCAAACAGACAATCCATCCAAACTATAATGACAATATTTAAATTCAGGATGAGAAACCACATTACGTCTTAGAGAGAGAGAGAGCTGAAACATAAGAGCAAATGGAAATCTCATGTTGTTACGTTCACACTTGTGGTCAACACTAGTCATTATAGTCAAGGTTGGACAAAATATCCGTAAATTTTGATTCAATTCGTTATCCGTTTCGATTCGAACCGAAAAATCCGGATATCCGTAACCCTACGAGTCAAAGCAAATACTAAAATGTGATATCCGTAAGAAACGAAGCAAATCACAAATACTAAAAATTTTAAGAACGAATATCCGATTTGATCCGTTAATATATACATATATATATATTTCTATATAACTTGTGATACTGTAGGTAGATAATCGTTTTAAGGCTCGAGTTTCGCGAGGGTATGCTTCGCGAGTAAACACTCGCTTAAGAAAGAACGGATCACTACTTGTTTCATCTCCTTAAATTTCTAAATCATGTCTGAGTTCTTGGTGTGATTTGTTATTCTCTCTTGTATCACATCACAAAAGAACTGCAGAAAAAGCAGATTGTTTGTGCTCATTTTATCCGGAGGTGATGATTAATGAAGGTTCTGATGATGGTGAGAATAAACAAAGCCTTACATAAACGATTACATAATAATTGTTTGCTAAATAGAAATGTGTTAGAAAAAAGAAAGTATTAAACCGGATTAAGATAACCCAACCGATTACATAATAATTGTTTACTAAACATAAAAATGAATAAATGAAAGGAATAAACTGAAATAATCTAACCCAAATTGGTAAATCAATATTAACCGGTTCTATAACAAAAAACAATGTGAAAGAAAACACAAACGAAGGAGTTCATGCCACTTTCGCCAATTTTTATGTGTAGAAACGACAGTCGAGACGAACATAAAGAATATTGTGAAGCAGGAAACGATCACTGTTTCTTTCCTAATAGTTTTCTTAGTGGTTTGATGTATGCCAAATTACATGGTGTGCCGAGAGAAAAGGCTGAAGATAAGAGATTAACTGCCGAGTGTCAAAGCCATTCGGAGTTGAGGAATTGTACAAGATAATGGACGTCTTTTACTATGATACTCTAGAATCAGCTTTGAAACGTTTGAAGAAAGAGTATCCAGTTGTTTGAAGGATGTGATTAAAGTATTATAAAACAGAAAAGCGATGAAGAAATGCAAATATACTATGGTCCGGAACCATGCTGCATATGATGAGGAACATGCCGTGATGATTGTTGATTTCATGAGTGATCCGAGGGATAAGGTGACTATTTGCAAGATGAGTAAAAAAGTTAGAACTGCTAATGATGGATATATAGTTGTGAGTCTTCAAACTATGGTAAGAATGATTGGAACAAAAAAAGAAATGTAGCTGGAATAACAAATCGACCTATCTTCTAAGTGAGTTCTATTCTGTCGACATTGAAACATGTCCTCAGCCTCTAATATCACTTGATTCAAAACATATTTTCCTTGTGTATTTATATTTATATGTTTTGTCTTATTGATAATAGTTTACTGATAAAAAATAGTTGTTAAAGTTCAAACATGAACTATATATGCACAACCAACCTGCAAAGTATAGAAAAAGACTGAAACTAAAGTTGTTCTTTCAGATGAAAGATGATAACTACAAAAAGGAGAAACACATTAATTCTCAAGTGTCCAACTTCATAGTGGAACATAAACTTTAGAGATGGAATTTTGTTGAGATTGGTCAATCATCATATAATAATTTGAAAACCAATTAGCATTGACTTTGAGCTTGGCATGTCGAGCATGTGCATCACCATAAACCTCACATAGTCAACTTGTTTTCACATATCTATTTGATAAAACAGAAATAAACACGTTTAACTAAATAAAAAAAGTTAAAAAACATGTTATGTTCAATGTTTGTTAATTTTATGCTACAAACATATAAACCTTGACAAGAAAAGTTAGTAAGAAATACAAGTTAACATATGTACAACTAGAAGCCAGTATGCGAAACGATCACATGTTACAACAATGGCTGGCAAAAGGGTCGAGAAAGAATCCGCTTTCAATCGAACCAAGCTTAAACAAAAATAGAAATTGAAATTGAACAAAACTGAATTAAAGCAAACCAAAATTGAACCAAACTAAAGCGAATAAAACCAAATTGACATTGAATCAAACCATGCTAAAGGGAACATGGATTCATAATCCATCAATGCTTCTTCATCTGTTTCGACCAAATTCATTTTTGATCTTTCACTTTAGTTTCTCGAACTCTTAACCAGCTCTCTGTTTGGCATGTTCTTTTTATTTTACTTTTTATGTTGTTCAAACCATTATATTACCTTACCCAATATAATTGGAGGTATTAAGACCGCCAAGGGCAACATAATCAACAAACACAAACAAAGCCTAAAGCAGAATGGAAAACTTAGTCAAAAGTTACAAACTCAAATTTAGAAAATAACCAATTATTGGCATTAGAGAGAAGTAACACTCTGAAGAAAACGTTTCTAGGAATTTACTTTAGAGATGGGAACTAAAACTGTGACTTGAATTTGTATATTCGTATCACATGTCAATTACAAGTGGGAGATGAAAAGGAAACAACTGAGAGCAAGAAAAAGAATGTCTAACATTTTCCCCAATTTCGGCAATCAAATGTTATGATGAATTATTCAAACACAATCACACAAAAACCAATCTACTTCATGATACAATTAAATTAATCCAGTATTAATAATTATTCGATTAGCTTTCAAACATATCTTGGGTTGACAATGAGCCAAACCACTCTCTCTTATTTTGTTGAAACTCCTGAAGAGACAGAGTTCAGAACCTGCTGATTATCGGAAGCTTTTCTGGTAAAATTTCTGAACTCCGATGACTCTGACCCACGAGAACGAAGCATCCAGTATCCTCATCGAACCTTCTCCTAACTATAGCAATGTCATCAGATACTTCACCAAGCGCAATCTTGGATAAGTCATTGTACCTTATGTAGAAGGTTGCATTTTTGGCATTGAGCCCCGGAGGCACCAAATCTGTAGCCACGTTCACAATCTCCAATTGGATTTTTGAGTCACCATACCTAACTCTAGTGGCAAGTGTAAGCTTTAAATATAGACGAATCCAGTCATTGGATTTCAGCTCTTCTTTTCCCTAACCAAAAGCAAAACATTTTTACTTATATTATTATACGATGCTTCCAAATATTTACTCTATTGATATCATACGGTGCTTCCGAATAGTGTGGTTACCAGACAATATCTTTCAAAAGGATTTTCTGGCGGCCACTCAGGCAAGCGAATGTCCAAAAGCATCGTTTGTTTGGCACTTTTACATTCCCCTATATAAAAAAAAAATTAAATCAGCTTTTCTTTTATTTATTTCTACAAGGTCGTACTTCAGACATATCTTTTACCTCGAATTCTTGCAATATCGCACGTGAGCATAAATTGGTTACAACCCATTTGCGATACTTGAATCTGAAAAGTCTGACACGAAGACCCACCAGCTTGGTCAATTGCATACAAAGTGATGTAATAAGTGGCAGCAGGAGAACCTAGTGTCTCAATGTATTTCCGTACGCCTTTGAGCTTAAACTTTGTACCCTACAAGAGGGGAAGAAATAAATTAAAATTTAGCATTATCATTAGCACAATAGAGAGATCAAGAAAAAGGAGAAACAAACAAATAGTTTTGGACCTGAAGCAAGTTGTAACGATGGAGGCCCATCTTAGCATAGAGGCGGACGAAGCGAGGACAAGGATCATCTTTAGTACATTTGTTTACACATAATCCAAACCTAGATCCTTTCAGATCGAATATCTAATATCCCATTAATTAAGAGATGCAAATAATCAGCGAGCAAAATGTATATTCAGTCTCTTATTACAAAAGAATAAAGATGATGAAAGAATTACACCGTATTTCTCCACTAGTTCCTTCGTCTCCGCCGCCTCGCGAGCAAATGCTTCACGATTTCTAGATCTTCTGAACATCTTTATTATGGTCTCCCTCCTCAAGCGATTTTGGTTTACGTTTGTCAATTTATGTTACTTACGCCTTTGTATATAACCACAATATATCCAGCTCATTCAAAAAAAAGAAGAGCAAGTCCTATTACAAAAAGAATAATATCATCTGTACAATTAATATATATTAATTCTGATCCACAAAAATAGATTTTATGGTATCTATCTATACTATTATTTAAGAAGGAAATTTGATTATGTGCAATATTTTTCACAGTTTAGGTATTTTTGTTTATTTGTAATTAAAAACAAATTATATCAATAATTGTAGCTGATTTATTATTATAAATCAAAATTTGAGAAATAAATTTGCTTATATGTCATATTCTCCATGATTTTAGGTATTTTTTTCTTATTATATAATTAGAATCAAATTTTATATCAATAATTTTACTAGCTAATTGAGTGTAAATTAATATGATACATTTAAATAGATTATGTTAGAAACAAATACTTAAATTCCATTTCAAATATAAAAAAATAAAATATTATATATTTATCTGTCTATACTATTAAAAGAATTCATGAGTGATTTCATGTGTATCATAATTCTTATGTCCTTTAGAGATACTTTGTCCTTGTTTCTTTGCAGGTTGTATTCTCAACGGCCCTAACGGTGATCTGTTACTCTCCGTATCATCTACCTGAAGATAACCAGAACCATTATTCCTCAACTCCATTTCAGCATTATAAGTGGTTATTTAATTGTGTTCCAAAAAAAAAAAAAAGTGTTCCAAAAAAAAAAAAGTGGTTATTTAATTGACTAATGAAAGAACAACTTCGTAAGAACTTGAAGAATTTATGTGTCCACATTTTTTTCAGTAAGAGTTGGAGATTCTGCAATCCTATGGGAACCATGTAACTCAACAAACGAGCTTTCAAATTGGCTTTTAATTTTTATAATCTTAGTTTTTCAACTTATATATTGTTAACGAAGCAGTGTTGATGTCGTTATACTTTAGCTTACTTTAGCTAAAGGCCCTTTACTAAAGGTGTGTCTCTTTGTAATTTTCTTTAGAGTGATGGGAGCTAATTAAAACCGTGACCTGAATTTTTATTAACATATAATTAAGATGATGAAAGGAGAGACAAGAATGTGATTGAACTCTTCCCATGAGTCTAGCATTCTTGTCTGAGACAAGAACAAGTAGAAAAGAACAAGATTAATAAGTTTGACAAATTATTCAAGCACAACACTATAATAAAACCACACAAAAACAAGTCTACTTGACAATCCAAGTAACTTAATCCAGCATTAACAGTAGCGACTTAACTTTCAAAACGGATCTTGTGTTGTAACGATCCAAGCCACTCTAGTTGACAATCTTCTGATTTTCCGCTCCATCATCCTCACCAAGTCCGGTATTAATCCTTTTATTCTCCGCAGACAGTTTGTCCTCACCAACAATCTTACGCTTCTTTGGTATAAGTTCTGAACTTGGATGACTCTTACCAGCAAGAATGAAACATTCAGTATCCTCATCGAAGCTTCTTCTTACTATAGCAATGCAGTCAGAATCCTCAGCCTTGGACAAGTCCTTGTACCTTATGTAGAAGGTTGCATTTTTGGCATTGATCCCTTCATCCACATCTGTAGCCACTTTCACAATCTCCAAGTTAAAGAGACCACGCCTAGGTTCATTTATGGCAACACCAAGTTCCAAATAAAGACGAATCCAATCATCATTGTCTTGCAGCTCTGATTTCACCTAATCAAAAGCAAAACATGTAGACTACTTTACTGAGCATACCAAATTTTTTTGGTCTGTAATCTTACCATGCAATATTTTTCAAAAGGATTCTCTGCTGGCCATTCAGGCAAGTCAATATCAATGATCATCGATTCATTATCATTCCTTGTTTCCCCTATACAATGATTAAATCGGTAATTGTCAGTGTAAACAAGCTAAAGGAAGAAGATGATCTATAACAAACTTTCTGTTATTCAACACAGTGTCCCTTATATATAGTGAATGTATCACCGGTTAGCAAAAACATCAAACCAGAGATTAACCAAATACTAATAACACGGTTAAGCACCCTAATAGCAATTAAGTTAATACGATTAATGCAAAACATGTTTTTACCTCGAATTCTTGCAATATCGCAAGTCAGAATAAATTTGCCGCGACCTTGTTGAGATACTTGAGTCTGAAACGTTTGAAGCGAAGAAGATCCACCACCAGCTCCAGCTGTGTCGTCAATTCCAACCGAAGTCATGTAATAAGAGGGAGCAGCAGAACCCGTTGTGACAATGTACTTCTTTACGTGTTTGAGCTGAAACTTTGTACCCTGAAGAAAAAATATATTGAAATCTAACATAGCACAATAGAGAGAAAGAACCGATAAAAAAGAAAAAAAAAAGAACCTTGAGCAAATTGTAACGATGAAGGCCCATCTTAGCATACAGGGTGACTAAGTGAGAACAAGGATGATCTTTAGTACATTTGGTTTTTCTTAGTCCGTACGAAGAGCCTCTCATATCGAATATCTAAAAATGCAGATAATCAGCAAACAAAATCCACATCCAATTCGGCTCATCAATCTAATTAAAGATTTTTTAAAAAAAATTACACCGTATTTCTCCACTAGTTTGTCAGTGGCCGCCATCTGAGCCAAGGGTTCGTTCGCTTTCCGGATCATTATCGTCAGAGCGATTTGTGTTCGTGTTCCTTGAAGAAGATGATGCTTTTGGTCGATAATTTTCTAACGTGTATGAGCTTAAACTTTGTACTCTAAAAAAGAGAACCAAAAATAAAATCGAATCTAGCATATTAGCATACAGGCGAACTAGGCGAGGACAAGGATGATCTTTAGTACATATGTAAATACGTAGTTCAAACGTAGAGCATTTGAGATCGAATATCTAAGACCAGATGCAAATAATCAGAGTGACAATATTCAAATTCAATTCAGATTGAAGCATGATCATCATCAATCTCTTTAAAAAGAAATTAAAGGAGATAAAAGAATTACACCGTTTTTCTCCACTAGTTTCTGAGTGGCAGCCGATGCAATCATTCCTTATTGTAAAAGCTTAATGACATCATCATTGTCGTCTCCCTCCTCAGCGATTTAGGTTTAGGTTTGTTGAGTTTAAGGCGATTATGGAAACAACAACATTGGGATAAACATATTTTAACAACAAGTTTACTTACTTTTCCGAGGTGTTTGCTCTTTACGACAAAGACGGATCTGTTATGTCTTGTTTCCGTTGGTCAAAAGTCCATTCCAAAAAAAGAAGTGAAATCTTTTTTTTTATTATCAAAAGTCCATTCCAAAAAAGAAGGATATTTCTAAAAAAATTATTATTATCAAAAGTATCACTAAATTTAGTTTATTTAATAATAAATAAAAATAATAAAACTACATCTGACTACATACTTTTTGATAAAATTAAAGTTATATAGATTTGTACAAATATATATTTTTTTTTTTTGGACAAATATTTATATGTTATGAAACAACAGCATGAAACATATGTATCTATTGAAACGAAACGGATGGTGTGTAATAATTTGAAAACCAATAGAATTGACTTTGACCTTAGCCTGTCGTGTACGTATCACCTGAAACATTTTATAGTGAACTAACTTGTTCTCACGTATCAATTTGATAAACAGAAATAAGCACGTCTAATTAAATATAACAATTAGAAACATGTTGTGTTCTATAGTGGTTGATTAACTATTTAATTCTTGCAAAAATGAAAATATAAACATGGACGGGATAAAGAGTTAATAAGAAATACAAGTCAACATCTGTACACATCCTTTATTTCACGTTTAAAATAACGCAATACAAAGAAAAAATAACGAATAATAAAATTTACAGATAATTTCTATAATAGAAAAAATAGAATTTCTAACAAAAAAAAGAAAACCTCAAGTTAATTCATCCTTGGGTGTGTGCAAGTTAATTAGAATGGATTGGTCTCAAACTCTCAAGTGTCTTCAACGAAAATCCTGAAGATGAAATCTCTGAAACGTCGAGAGTATTGCTTTGGATCAACGGCTGAGATCGAAGTTGGATCATACTGCATTGATTTGTATGCATGTTCAAGCTTCTTGCTTATATCATAGTCTTGTAGAATGTCTATAACACCAAAGTAGAGAATCACGTCGTAAAATTCACCGGTTGGTTCCCCAACAAGCTGATTCTCAGCGTCACTTCTTCTCACTGTTCTTTCAACTCTTGCAGACATGTTTATACCTAGTTGCATCGATGCTAACCTGAAAAAAAAAACACATTCAATAACCACACACATCGTATTATAAAACCTCATTTGCAGTTTCCACATTCATTGTGGTTATATAACCATTGAGTTTTTGGTTCTTTACTTGCTGGCATCGAGAAGAAACCGGTCCATTTCTCCTCGGGAGGGACGATTGTCTCCTGCTCAAACAAAATGAAGTGGCCTCGATCAAGCAAGGTTTGAGATGAAAAGTTTGAAAGTTTAAGACAAGATTTTTACCGGTCGGGGTTCTAGCACCGGAAGTAGGTGTGGCAGAGTTATTGCACGAAGATTCTCGAAAGTGAAGACCAACCAAGAGACTATAATCCATGATCCTCTCTTGTTCAAGAAATTCACAGTCTTTGTCCACTTGCCTGTCAAGAAAAAATGTTTAGAAGTCTGCTTACTTTCAAATCAGGTGATTCTCAACTTATCCGGTTTTGACGAATGAAATATGTGGAGATGTAATATATATATAACAAGAGTTATTATAGGTAGTGAATCAGTTACCTGCAGAATTCTTGAAACCAGTTCTTTTGCAAGCGGAATAAGAAATTTAGATCAAGATCTTTAAGCGTTGTGTTTGGATCGATTTCAGACTCTGGTTTTGTGGTAAGACGGCCATGAGATGATCCTTTGAGGTCAAACCGCCTATGGATGGAGTGGCCAGTACAGAATAGATTCCCCATGATCACAAACCTAACCTGCATGCACAAGTAGTCTTCCATCAGTACTTGCAAAACTGAAAATGCTAATAACAATTCACTGCATAGACATGAATACAAGAAATGGTTGTTGACCTTTTTCTGTGCAGTGCCAGTCAGTTTCACACAGTGAAGACCGAAGAACTTGGTAACTAGAGTATTTTCACATGCCCTTACATGGTTGTAGTAAGCCGGAAGCATCCTTATGAGAACCTAGTTTAAAGGGGAAAAAGAAATGAGTCAATATTTTGATAAACAGACTTTTTTTATAAAAAGATTGTATACTAGTACTTACTTTTGTTTCTGCCTTCTTCATAGTCTTGATCATGTAGCGGTCATCATTGGTCAAGTAGAAGAAGCTTCCACTTTTCCCTGGAGATGATAGCTCCCTAAGAGCATCATTTCCACAAATTGATAGCATATAATCTGCTGCATCAACATTAAACAGTTTCCGCAGAGTCCTACACAACATTTTTTCATAAGTTTACTTAATACCAAAAAAACACATAGAGGACATCTCAAAAAGCAACTTAAGAAAATAGAGTGTCTAACCTGAAAACCACAGGGCAATAGTCTTTCCATTTGAACTCACAAGACTGGTGTGGAGGAGTGTATTTAGATCCCTCAGATGGAAACTTGGTCCAAAGTTTTTCCTTTGGATCAAACGCAGAAGCCTTCAAATCAAGAGATGTTGCCGGAGCTGGTCTTCCAACAGAATGTCTTCACAAAAAGAAAACAACAATAATCAAATTTCAAAGAAACACACAAAGCAGTTTCAATCACAAATCCCCCTTACCTAATCCCAAGCTGCAAGTTAAGCATAAGATCATAATTCTTATGTCCTTTAGAGATAGTCTGTCCTTGTTTCTTAGCAGGTTGTATTCTCAACGGTCCTAAAGAAGATCTGTTACTCTCCGTATCATCTACCTGAAAATAACCAGAACCATTATTCCTCAACTCCATTTCAGCATTACTAACTCTTCCATCAACAGATCTCCTCCTCGGCCTCTCACTGCTCTTAGTCCTGTTCCCACTACTACTCTGCTCAGAAGAAGAACCGTACCAAACCGGCATCTTCTGAGACGGCAAAACCGGTATTCTCTGACAAGTACAAACCACACACTCACTCAAATCAACGTAGAAAACTTGCTGCGGTTGCCAATCAAAATTTCCACTAGTTGTCGCCGGGTAATAAGTCCCGTTCTGTTCTTTAGGATCTTTACTCCAAACTCCGACATAAAAACTCCCATCCGACCAACGGAAAGTCCCGTTCCCTTTCGGAGCAGAGTCTTCCCAAGAACCGTCGTAACGGTTCCCGTTGCTCCATATCATCGTCCCGTTACCGTTCATCATCCCGTTCTTCCACTGACCGATATAATGATTCTCATTCTTCCACTGATACCTCCCGTGACCATCTTGCAACCCCCTCCTCCACTCTCCGTCGTAGCAGTCCCCGTTGACGTAGCTTTTCGTGCCTTGACCGTGACGTAGGTTCATCACCCACGAGCCTCTGTATAAGTCTCCCGTGGAGTCGATGTAAGTGCCTTTACCGTCCATGTAACCGTTCTTGAAATCGCCTTCGTAGGTTGCGCCGCTAGGCCAGCTGAAACGGCCTTTCCCCATGGTTTTGCCGCGGTGCCATTCTCCGACGTACATACAACCGTCGGTCCAGAGGTATTTGCCGTGTCCGTGTGGGAGGTTGTCTCTCCATTGGCCTGTGTAGAAGTCTCCGCTTGGTAATGCTTTCTCTGCGTGGTAGGTTTCTCCTGTTGGTCGGCTGTAATCGTCGGCGTCGTCTGCGTGTGCTACCGACATTTCTTTGTTTTTCTTCTTTTCTTGTTTTGTTTTGTTCTTTTTTCTTTTCTTTTTTCAGATATGTCTTCGTCTTCGGATCAATGTTGTTCTCTCCATAGCTAGATCGCCAGGTCGCATTTCAAGGATGGTCTCAAAAGAATGGTCTTCTTCAGAAGATGGAGAGAGAGGAGATGTTTTGATTGGTGCGGGAAAACAATAGAAAGACAGAGAGAGATGATGAGGATATGGAAAAAGGAAGAAGAAGAGGAAAGAATGTTGTGTGTTGAAACGATGATGGTGATTCGATGAAGAGTTTGGTAATGGCCATTGTTATTTTGGATCTCCGTGTTTGATTCCTAAAGGGACTACCAAACCAGACATCTGGAGGGGCCTCGCAACAATGCGACGTGGTTCCCTTGTCAATTCTTACGTCATTTCCTATTTTCTTTATTTAATTATTTTTGTTTTGTTTTTTAATTTAATTTATAACGAGAACTTCCCACCAAATATGTCCGGTTATTGTTTTCTTTTCAAATGTTTGACCTCATGAATCCGGTCTTGACAAAAATTAGAGTCATTATAAAGCTGTTTTTAGAGTCACTAAAGCATAGGCATGGGTGTTTTCACCCCAAACCAAATTCTTTACCTTAACCCGAACCGAAAAAACTAAAATCGGATCCAAACCATTATATAAGAGTATCCGAATGGCATATGAAAGTTTAGTATTTTGGGGTATGGATACAATCCAAACAGAAATCCAAACTTGGATCAGAATATTATCAAAATTAGTGAAATATGTTACTATTTTTACTAGGTAAGAAATCCGTGTGATGGCATAGTGCGATTAATTTTATTAAAATAAATATTCTGTAGTGTATAACTTATATTTTAAAAATACTGCTAATTTTTTTCAATAAAGTCCTTGTAACATGTACAATGTAAATTACTTGTTTCTATATTCATTTATAGATGCTACTAAAATTTTATATTGGTTTTATTTTTTTAGATTATAATTAAATTTAATATGCCAATACTAATTTAAATATATAGATATATCTTATTATTATTTTCTAAGTGATTTAAATTACAATTACAATTTAATATATTCTAAACTAATTAAAAGAAACAAACACATTTAAACCTAATCATTTATTTACTAAACTAATAAAATAAATAATAATGATGAGTATGACATTCATAATTTATTTGAAGCTATGTAAAAATATATGTATAGTCAAAATATGGAAGCATTAAGAGATCTGATTTAAAGCATGTTCTTTTTGGTAAATTACATATGTATTCTTTTTTTCTTCATTATTTGTATTTTTTATAAAATTATATTTTTCTTATATAAGTGTTGGATGCAATTATGCAACTATGAAATCTCTATTTTCTAGAGAAACATGGATAACTCACGGATCAAAACTCTTTGATATTCATCATATACCAGTGCTGGATGTAGCTATAAATAAATTTTTATATTTATTTTGAAATTTGTGGGTTAACCCCCACAAAAAAAAATTGAGTTTTCTGATAAATGCTACTTAAGTTAATTCTCTTTAGTGTTATTTAAAATATTTAACTACATTAAAAATTTATATTAATGTATCCTAAATTTATTTTCATGGTACATGGACATCAGTTATAAATTTCTAACGAGTATAATAAAATTTCATATACCACGTAAATCCATAAACTACACTTATGGAATCACTTTATTTTAGAGAAACTGGGACAACAAAGGTTTAAGATATCTTTGATCTTCACCATATATCTGTGCTGGATACATTTATGCATTAAAAAAAAAATCATATTTTCTAGCTCAAGTGGTAAAGGGCTTACAATTGTGAGTACCGCCACCTGGGTTCGAATCCCAGCCACTGAGGAATTAACATTTCGGCATCGCTAGGGACAGAGGACCGACACGTGGCAACACGTGACTAGTCTGGATCACTTCTGTGAGGCCAGGATACCTCTGTATAATTCAAAAAAAAATATCACATTTTCTAATTTATATTGAAATCAGTGGGTTAACCCCTACAAAAATATAGAGTTTTACAAAGAATTAAACCTTAGGAAGTCTCTATTTTCTAAAGAAATTTGGACAACTAAGGTATTAAAACTCTTTGATATCTATTATATATCAGTGCTGGTTGCAGCTAGGCATAAATAAAAAAAAAAAAATCAGATTTTCTAATTTATTTTGAAATTTGTGGGTTAACCTCTACGAAAGATCAAATTTTTCCGATAAAGACTATTTGTACTTAAGTTTAGTCTCTTTAGAGTTGTTTAAAACATCTAAGCACATGAAAAATCTATACTAATTTATCTTAAATTTATTTTCATGATACATAGACATTAGTAATAATTTTCCAATGAGTAATTTAATATAACTTCATATATCACGTAAATCAAAGAACTAAACCTTATGAAATATCTATATTCTATAGAAATTGAGACAACAAGGTGTCAGACATCCTTGATCTCCATCATATGTCTGTTATGGATGCCTCTATGCATTAAAAGATAAATACCATATTTTCTAACTTATCTTGAAATCTGTGGGCTAACCCCTACAAAAAATTGAATTTTCTAATAAATGCTATATACTGAAGTTTAAGCTTTTTCTTGTTGATTAAAAATACCTAATTACATTATATATTTATATTAATGAATGTTAAACATGTATTTATGGTACTTGGGCAATTTTTCTAATGTTTTAGTGGGTAATTTAATAAAATTTCACATTCCACCGAATTCAGTGGACTAACCCCTATAAAATCTGTAAATTATAAATAAGATCTTAGACCTGTTTAATTTTCATCACATGTCAGTGCATGATGAAGTTATGAATTAAAAAAATATACTATATTCTCCAATTTATCTTACCAAAAGATCAAGTTTTTTCCAATAATGTTATATATACTAAAGTTTAGTCTTATTATTGTTTTTTCTAATACCAAACCACAATCTAAATGATTATTAATGTATTGTAAATATATTTTCATTGTAAATGGGCATCATATCTAATTTTTCAATGAGTACTTTTTTAAAACTTCATATACGATCTAATTTATGTACTACCCCTATAAAATCTCTATATTCTACAGAAATAGGAACACATAAGATTTTAAACCTCTTTAATCTTCATACTATGTCAGTGCATGATGAAATTATTCCTTTAAAGAAAATACTATATTTTCTAATTTATTTTGAAATATGTGGGTTAACCCTTACGAAAAAATTGAATTTTCCAAAAACTTACTATCTATATTATTTAGTTCTTTATTGTTGTTTCCAAATTTTATTATATATATATATATATATGTATGTATGCTAAACTTATTTTCATGGTACATGGACATCATTTCTAATTTTCCAATGAGTAATTTATTTAAACTTCATATACCACATAATAAGTGGACTAACCCCTAAAAAAAAACTCTATTTTTTGGAGAAACGGAAAAACCTAAGGTCTCTAACCTCTATATTCTCCAGACTATGTCAGTGCATGATGCATCAAATCATTAACAAAAATACCATATTTTCTAATTTATTTTTAAATATATAGATTAGCCCCTACAAAAAGATCGAGTTTTCAGATAAATTTTATATATAAGTATCTTTAGTTTTGTTTGAAAATACTTAACCGCATTCAAAATTGATATTATTTTCCTAAACTTATGTTCATGGTACATTTGCATCAGTTGTAATTTTAAACTAATGAATTTAACAAAACTCAATATACCACCAAAATCAATGAATTAAACCTTATGAAATTTTGAACAAAAAAAAAAACCTTATGAAATCTCTATTTTCTAGATAAATTTGTACAGCTAAGGTATTAAAACTCTATGATATTCATCATATATCAGTGATGGTTGCAGCTATGCATAACTGAAAAAAAAAAAATTCTAATTTATCTTGAAATCTGTGGGTTAACCCCTACAAAAAGATCGATTTTTCCCGATAAAGGCTATTTGTACTTAAGTTTAGCCTCCTTGGTGTTGTTTAAAACATCTAAGCACATGAAAATGAATACTTCTTTTTCCTGATTTTATTTTCATGGTACATGGACATTAGTTGAAATTTTGCAATGAGTAATTTAGTAAGACTTCATATATCAGGTAAATCAAAGAACTAAACCTTATGAAATACCTATATTCTAGAGAAATTGGAACAATAAAAGGTGTCAGACATCCTTGATCTCCATCCTATACATGTTCTGGATGCCTTTATGCATTAAAAAAATAGCATACTTTCTAATTTATCTTGAAGGGTTAATCCATACAAAAAGATCAAATTTTCTGATCAATGCTATATACTGAAGTTTAAACACTTTCTTGTTGATTAAAAAAATACCTAATCAAATTATACATTTATATTAAAAAAAATTTATGGTACATGAGCAACTTTCCTAATATTTTAATGAGTAATTTAATTAAACTTCATATTCCACCGAATTCGTGGAATAACCCCTATAATATCTATAAGTTTCTGGAGAAATAGAAACAAATAAAATCTCAGACCTCTTTAATTTTCATCACATGTCAGTGCATAGTGAAGTTATGCATTAAAAGAAAATACTATATTCTCCAGTTTATCTTACCAAAAGATCAAGTTTGTCCAATAATGTTATATATACTAAAGTTTAGCCTTGTTATTTTTTTTTCAAAAATACCTAACCACGCTCTAAATGTGTATTAATGTATTCTAAACATATTTTTATTGTTAACGGGCATAATTAATTTTTCAATGAGTAATTTTTTTCAAACTTCATACGATCTAATTAGTCTACTAACTCTTATAAAATCTCTATATTCTAAAGAAATAGGAACCTATAAGGTCTTAAACCTCTTTAATTTCATACTATGTCATTTCTTGATGAAATTATGCATTGAAATTAAAATATATATTTCTAATTTATTTTGAAATATGTGGGTTAACCTCTACAAAAATATTGAATTTTCCAATAAATACTTATTATGTTATTTAGCCTCTTTATTGTTGTTTAAAAATACCTAACCACACTCCAAGTTTATATAAATGTATGCTAAACTTATTTTCATGGTATATGTACATCATTTCTAATTTTCCAATGAGTAATTTATTTAAACTTTATATACCACCTAAAAGTAGACTAACCCTATAAAAAACTCTATTTTCTGGAGAAACAGGAAAACCTAAGGTCTCAAACCTCTTTGTTCTCCATACTATGTCAGTTAATGATGCATCAATTCATTAAAACAAAAATACCATATTTTCTAATTTATCTTGAAATATATGGATTAACCACTACAAAAGATCGAGTTTCCAATAAATTTTATACAAAAGTATATTTAGTTTTGTTTAAAAATAACTAAGCACATTCAAATTTATATTAATTTCTTAAACTTATGTTCATGGTACATGGGCATCAGTTGTAATTTTCAATGGGGAATTTAATTAAACTATACGACCAAAATCAACGAATTAAACCCTATAAAATCTATATTTTCTCGAGTAATTTGGACAATTAAGATATCAAAACTCTTTGATATTCATCGTATATCAGTAATGGTATATCATTACCTAACTACAATCTAAATGTATATTAATGTGTTCTAAACATATTTTCCTGGTACATGGACATCATTTTTAATTTTGCAATAAGTAATTTTTCAAAAATTTATATACAATCTAATTAGTGTATTAACCCCTGTAAAATCTTTATATTCTAGAGAAATGAGAACACCTAAGGTCTTAAAACTCTTTAATCTTCATATTATGTCAGTGCATAATGCATTTATGCACTAAAAAAAAAATACTGTATTTTCTAATTTATTTTGAAATATGTGGGTTAACCCTTGTGAAAAAGATTGAATTTTCCAATAAATACTATCTATATTATTTAGTTTCTTTAGTGTTGTTTAAAGATACCTAACCACACTCCAAATTTATATATATGTATGCTAAACTTATATTCATGGTACATGAGCATCATTTATAATTTTCTAATAAGTAAAATATTAAAACTTCATATACCACATAATAAGTGGACTAGCGTCTATAAAAACTTTTTTTTTTGAGAAATGAGAACACCTAAGATCTCAAATATCTTTGTTCTTCATACTATATCAGTGCATGATAAAACATTAGTTTTAACAAACTACCATATTTTCTAATTTTTCTTGAAATATGTGGATTAACCTCTACAAAAGATCGAGTTTTCTAATAATTGTTATATGTAGATCTCTTTAGTTTTAAAAAAAAAATACTTAGTCACATTCAAAATTTATATTAATGTACTAAACTTATGTTCATGTTACATGAATATCAGTTCTAATTTTCAATCCGGAGAATTTAATAAAACTCTATATACCACCAAACTCAATGAATTAAATCCTATGAAATATCTATTTTCTAGAAAAACATTGGACAAATAAGGTGTCAAAATATGATTTTAAAAAATCATATTTTTCTAATCTATCTTGAAATCTCTGGGTTAATTACGAAAATATCAAGTATTTCCGATAAATGATATATGTACTTAGTTTTAACCTATTTAGTGTTGTTTAAAATAACTAACTCCATTAAAAATTAATACTAATGTATCATAAATTTATTTTTATGGTACATGGACATCATTTATAATTTTTCAACGAGTAATTTAATAAAAACTTCATATACCACGTAAATCAAAGAATTAAATCCTATAAAATTTCTATATACTAAAGAAATTGGGACAGCAAAGTTGTGAAGCATCCTTAATCTTCATCCTATATATGTGTTGGATGCATCTATGAATTAAAAAAAGTACCATATTTTCTATTTTATCTTAAAATCATGGGTTAATCCTTACAAAAATATTGAATTTTCTGATAAATGCTATATACTAAAATTTAAACACTTTCATATTGATTAAAAACTACCTAATTACATTATACATTTTTATTAATGTATGTTAAACTTATTTTCATTGTACATAGAAATCATTTCTAATATTCTAGTGAGTAATTTAATAAATTTTTATATTTCATCTAATTACATGGACTAAATCTTATAATTTCTTCAAATCATTCACTTACAAGTAATAGATATATGATTAGACTGATAACAATAGATTAGAGAGACGTCCAAAAATAAAACAAAAAATCATATCAGACATGAAAGAGTTTTGACTTTGAGAAGTTTATAGAGGTGAAGTCTAACTTTTATATTCTCTACCATTGGAACTTGTTTGTTCTAACTGGTTTGTTTATCCAAGGGAATGCACTAATTTTCCGAGCTGTCATAGGTAATTTACGGAGAAGCTGATTGATATAAAGCCAATTTCATTTAGAAAAAAAAAACACTGGCCACCTGAAACAAGAAACCCCACACATCGCTAGTTAGCAGTCTCCACTTAAACGTTATCCAGAGCATCACTCTGCGACTCATCTTTGTTTCTTGGAGGAACCACCCTTTCCGTTGCAAGTCTCTCCTCTAGAGCCCTTGCTCCTCTTTCTCTGTAACAACAAGGTTTTTTGAAAGATCAGAAGAAGGTCGAGTTTCTTTTTGAGAACCAGAAACAGTTTTCACAGGGATTTGGTTTTGATACTAACTAAGCAAAGTCTTTACATTTTGATGCAAGTGATGACAAAACAGTACTCTATCTATTCTAGAACTAAATAAGTAAGGATCATTCATTACCTGGGTTTGAATCAACCAAAACCCAAGATTATGTTTCAACTATGTCTAGCCAACAAAAAAATAGAGCAGAAAAGAGATAAAAACGTAAAACTAAAGAATTTTACCTCCTTCTAGAAGCTTCAACGGAGTCAGAACCTGGTAAAGGAGCACCGCTGGTGGTATAACCATGGTCATCGCTGGTGGCATTTGATCGTCCACAAAGCATCCGATGAAAGATTGAGGCTATAGGGTCAATTACCGGTCTGCATTTTATCAGGAAATACACAAAATTTACAAACAACGCGTGAAGAAAGTAATACTTTGCAGGCAAACTCAAAATTATATAGTAGCAAAAAAAAGAGGAGGAACATTCATTCACCTGAGAAATTCAGGAAAGAAAGTAGAGAAGGCAAAGTCATCACTGGGATCACCTCTGAGCTTAGTTTCTGGCCTCCTCTGGAAGTATCGGAGGTATAACCATCCCATATATGTACCAAATATCAAAGTGGGAAGATACGCTGCTGAATTTATTGTGAAGAAGCTTGAGGCTATTGACAAAACTAGCGTAATAGAGGGCAACCACTGCACACACATAAGACAAAAACGAGATTAGGATGTGTGAACGCTTCGACTAGGCCAGGTTACAGTAAGAAAATGTCAAAGCTCTTTATCATTCATTACCTTTGCTTTTATCTTTAAGAACAACACCTCCTGGTCAGGTATTATCTGTTTTATCCCGACAAGAAGACCCGCCAAGACACCATGAAAACCTGCAAAGGGCATATATCTTACCCAAGAAGAAAACAGACAGCAGGTTACTAACTACATTTTTCAACGATTTGGACTTAAATGTTTCACAGACTCAGTATGTTAGAGAGTACTCACAGGTAGATTTCTAGCCTGGTAATGTAGTATAAAGCAATGGCTGTCACGAAAACACAGAGATACGTAAGAAAGTTCACGACGAAGACGAACTTGAAAAACTCCTTGGAACCCCAAACAGGCTCCAGAAACTTCCCCATAAAGAGGAGAGAAACAGTGCTGATGACAACCTGCCAACATTGCATAAAACACTCACTCATGTATCCAAAACATTACAGATTCCAAATGTGGATTAAATAGTAACATACATACCCCATACACAGAGAGTTCAAAATAGCCACTTGTAATCAGAATCCAACCAAAAGGAATAGTCCTACAAATAAAGAGAGTGTAACAAGTCAGGAACTAAATAGTTCAATCTTATGATTCCACAAGCAATTTTTAAAGCGATCATCAAATTAGCATAGTAACAAATATAATATTTTACTGATTTTTAACTCAAATAGGAACCCTAATTTCTACCAAAACCGTGAATTGGAAGCAAGATCCGTTCCAGTAAGAAGGAGTTAGTTACCTGGCGGGAACGAGAGCAAGGTAAGGGACGGTGGCGGGAACGAACTGAACCAAGAGGTGTCCCACCACAAGCACAAGAGCAAGTCCTTTGCAGAGCTTTGTGAAATTTGTGAACATACTCGCTACCTGGAATCCAACAATGTGAAAACAAATAGTAGATTTGTAGATCAGATCAAAGCACTATCGATCAAATCTCGTAGATCTGCCTTACGTACCGGAGAACTCATTGTCGCCGGAGAGTGTTAACAAATCTCAGATCCTGACGGTAGATCTCGTCGACGGAGATTATTAATTTTCTACTTTCTTCCGCAATTAAAATATATCTAAGTTTATATAACAACTATGCTAAACGTGTTACTTGACCCATGTATCATGCGTTTAATGTAACACAAACCAAGCCAAACACACGTTAATTATTTTATTTTATTTATAAAAACAAAACACGTTAATTATTTTCAACATCATATATGGAAGTTAATTATCATCCCAGTTACTTATGGCTAACTTGTTGTATAACCATTTTTTTATATAATTAATCTTGTGCTTGGATTTATTATTACTGTATTCCAATTTTTATATGTTTTGTTTTATTTCGTGAACAGAGACTAAACCCCTTAAAACAACCAAATAGGCCTGGGCATTTTACCCGGACCCGAAGACCCGACCCGAAACCGACCCGAAAAAACCGGGTCCGGATAGGAACCGACCCGAGCAAATTACCCTATCGGGTCTTGTTGTGGAGGACCCGCGGGTCTTGGACCCGACCCGGACCGAACCCGAAACCCGATGGGTACCCGAATTAATAGTGTAAATTAAATAAAATGCATTAAGGAGGAATCGAAGACGGGTTGTTTCTATAGAGAGTAAGGGGTCAACCACTAGGAGACAACGAATTGTTGTTGTATCTCGCATAGTTTAATATATATACACATTTTAATATAGTAAAACACACAAATTTTGAATAAAATTTTGAATATTTTCGGATATATAAGTATTTTCAAATTTTTTTTTTATATATTTAGGTCGAACCCGAACCGAACCCGACCCGAAACCGAACCGAAACCGAACCGATAAATTCTAATTACCCGAATGGGTCCAACTATCTAAGACCCGACCCGACCCGGACCCGATAGGACCCGAACCGAACCGAAACCGAAAATTTGAAATTACCCTATCGGGTCCTAAACTCCTAGACCCGAAAGACCCGGACCCGAAAGGACCCGACCCGAACCCGACCCGACTACCCGAATGCCCAGGCCTACAACCAAAGATAGAGACTAAACTCTCATTATAGAGCCTTTGTCGGTGAAGGATACAGTGTTTAATCTGTTTTTAACGGTAAAATTTAGTGGTCTAAAAGACATTTCATCTCGAATCATGGAATGAATTCATTTCATTATGGTAAAAATATATATTGGTAATGTAGTATTCTTCCAAGCGTTACTAGGTGGTACTAAATCTCATCGATATATGTAGTGACACGGAGTTAGCTTGTCCTTAGGGTGATCAATTCACCCACATGAAATTTTGAAAAACAATGTTATTATAGTTAAAATTTTCAAATTGACCCCTACCTAAATTGTGAATTGATCCCTTTAAATTTAAATTCAACTAAAACTTCATAATTAAACAGCTTTATTAAACATGAAAAATTGTATGACCCATGTAAATAATTTTTCTGCCTCCGCCATTGGATATATGTAAGGTCTGAAATCTTTCTGAGATTAAAATCTTTTAATCACTCATTTGGTTAATGGAAGTTGTTGAACCAAAAAAAACAATTAAAGAGTGTTGTGGTTACAGCAAAGAAAGTTCGAAATAGCATGAGCTCTTTAGTCACTACCATCTTCTTTGGTGCCTGTGTTCGACCCTTGAGGCCTCATTAGGGAATGGTGTAAAACCCTCTCTGTCTCAACTCAACAAGATCAGCTCGTCTCCTCTTTACACATTTGCGACTTGCAAGATTGATCCTCCAAAAAGACCAGAGATATCAAACGAGATTGATACCATTATGGTTTTGATTAAGAATCAATTTAAACAAACACTATATCCATTTTTAAATAAACATATACACTGATTTACTTATCCATATTTGATGTTATTATTAGTTAACCAAAAATCATTGTTTGGGAATCAGTTACTGTTGGTAGCTTCAGAAACCAAACATACAAAATATAATGTTCATGAAATTGACTATTAATGGCTGTATCAACAACATACAATATAATGGTTTTTTTACAAAGGTTTCAAGGTGAAAAAAGTAAAATAAAGAGGGAGAAGAGAAAAGTGGGTATCATTGAGTGAGAGGAAGACATTCAAGTTGTATCTCGAGAACACCTCTCTCCACTTTTTGAAGCCTGAGTGATATGTCTTGTTTCACTTTCCCTTCTTCTTGTGAAATTATTCCATCACTCACCAATGTGTTGTCTTTGCTCGCCACCCAACTCCCCAGCTGCATAGGTTCTTGTATGCTCGATGTCTCGTATGCTTTTGCTGCACTCACCAATGGTTGTATGTCTATCTCTGCCTCCCCCATGAAATCATCTGTCGAAAACGTATCCTTATCGTACACTAGCTGCAAAAAAAAACATTACACGTTAAATAGTTTGGTGAGCTCATTGTAGTTAATGAGTTAAGAACAGAGCTCTCTGTTTTGTACTCTGTTTTCCGACAAGTTAAAAACATGTGCACTTACCACTTTGAGAGGAGGCATATGCTCAGGTATAGAAAGCATCAACGTCTCATTCCAAACAGGGTTCAAGTTGTTCTTTATCACTCGTGTCTTCACCGACTTCAACAACATAAAGAACAAGACAAAATTTAGTTTACATAACTAGTTTAGTTCTAAATCACATAAGGGTAGAGATCTTTTTGCAGAAAGCTTACTTGTTGGCCAAGAGTAAGGATAACATAAGGATCACTAGTCATCACATCTCGGACCGCAAGGTTTGTTCCTCTAACCACATTAACCTTAATCAATCCAACAAACTCAATCATACCTGCCTATAAAACACACACACATAATAACCAACATTAGCAAACATTATATTACCTAAACTAACACATGTATGTAATAATGGTTGTTTTACCAGAGAATTGCTCTTCTTGTGGACTTTATGATCAGATTCTCTTCTTCCCCAACTATTCCTAAATGCATTACCAATACGGTTTTTCGTAGAACGGGGGTTAGCAGAACATAAAGACGATGTTGAATCATTTGTTCTGCTAGGCTGCTGATAAGGGCACAAAGCACAATCTTTTGGATCCATAAACTGCTGCAGCTCATACTTCTTCCTACAGATTAAACACATAAACAATGAGATAAACTATATACATGCATGAGATTATAGCAAAATGTTTAATTATTGTCACCTGATGAAATCATTGCGGTCTTCGTTATTGGAATCAGGTTTTGGTTTCTTTAAATGGTCGATGTTGCAAGCTTCGAATCTCTGGTTCACTACAGTGTTTCCACCGTACTCTGCAAGCATATCAACTTGTTCATCTGTCCAATCATCTAGCTTAACTGATAAAACCTGTGTAATTAACGACCAGTCAAAAAAACGGTTAAAAGTCTATAAACAAAAAGAAAAGAGTTGATGAGACAGAAAGTACCTTTGTTATATGAACTCCAAGGCTTCTGTGTACACCAGAACACTTTATGCAGATAAACACACCGAGACTTAACGATCTAAACAACATGAGAGGATATATATCAATCCATGAGTAGAAGAAAATGTAAATGTACATATTAATCCATAAACTTACACCCATTTTGGTTCAGGAGATCCACAGTCAGCACAAAATTTATTCGCAGGTTGCTTCAGCAATTTCTCTAACCGATCTCTGGGATCTGAAAATGTCCAACACGACATTAGATTTTGTCTTCAACTATAACACTAGCATAATCTGTTGTGCTTAGGTATTATTACCAGAAGAAGATGTCTCTAAATCCTTTTGAAAAGTCTCGTGTGGTGTCTCTAAACATAACAGGTCATATAAACAAGCGTGCGAACCTAGACAACAAAACCAACATTTGAAACCCTTTCTTGTAAAGATTTAATAGGTTTGTGTTGGTTACCAGAAACTTCAACAGGATTGTCATGTTCTTGGCCGATAGACATTTCTAACTAGAGCCGAGACAATGAGAAAATGTTTAGAAAACAAAGCTGGAACATTCAAACAGGTTTTGTCCGAAAGTTTTTTTTCCCAGGATCACGGCATCCCTTGAAGAGCCATTGCATTTTCAGACAACGAGAATCTGAATTTTTTAAAAACGGCAAAATAAATGAAACACGATTGCACCAATGAAAAGTTGATAAAGGATGCGTGGAGAATACCTTAGGGGCAACTATGAAAATCCAAACTCATCAAAGCCTCTTTCAATGTTCAATTTATCTTGGAAGAACCTTAAAGCTCTTAGAGATCAGTTGAATTATTAATTATTTTTTGTAAAAAAAAAAAAAAGGAGAACAAGTTATGTTTTGTATAGAAGGAAACCTACATAGAGAAAACAAAAACAGAGTTTCGGAAGGATTTGGAGGAATGATGTCTGAGAAATTACATCATCCTCCAGACAAAGGAAATGGAGAAGCCTATGATTAGGTGTGTTTTTATTTGTCGGCCAGAGATGAGATGAGAGGAGATTAACCAATGAGATTTTTTTCCAATTTATTTTTCTGAAATTTTGTTATTGACATGTCATATTATCACCAATTATTACGATATTTATTTTCTTGATTAAATTTGGCAAACAACCTTGCACTGTTGCACATCTTTATTTAGAACCACAATTTCAATGATAAACACACAAATTAAACTTTCTGATTATTGCATGTGCTGATAAAATCATCGATACCAAATTACATTTATTTTATTTTTTGATAAACAATTGGAAATTACATTTATTTTAATACTGGCTATACAGTCGGATTTTCTCCGCGTTACATTTAATTGTGTTGGGTTTAGACCTAACTTACTGTACACGCATTTATTTGCTACGTTTTCTGGTGAAACAGATTCCAAACACACATTAAAAGTTTAAACAAACTCTATGACAGATCTGTATCATTTACAACTTTTCAACATTACAACACCAAAAAAAACAAACACAGCACAATATATACTTTTTTTTTTGTTAAGCTGCACAATATATACTTGTATCACCATCCCAGTCATAACGTATAACGAATCCTAAGGAATTCCCAGTAATAGTTTAGCATATGATCATCAGGTCTAACCCAATCCATTACAGAAAATTGGATATGCATCAGCTAATAATTTTCCTAATAAGCATCATGAACAAAAAAAACGCTCAAGTGTAAGACTATCTTCAGATTTTGGGTTATTCAAAGACTTACTTTCCAACGTCATGCAGTTGAGTGACATGAGTCCAGCTTTCTTGAAGATAATCAAGAGAAAACCGTTGTATCATTTTGGCTCTCTTCTTCTGTAATCCAAGAGGTTTTATAAGAGTCTCTATCTCTTTTTCTTTGATTTCTGTTGCAGTCTTTGCATAGCGCAAACAAGTCTGATATCACTCCCCGTGTCTGCAATCACGTTTAGAATAATCAATTAACAAACCACATAGCCTTTTCTTCTTACTAAATTCAACAATAGCAAATTAGCAAGCAGTTCCATTCATGGATTAATCAATTTACTCATCAAACCAAAGACTTGCATCTACTTCTTCTGAGCCATTCAAATAGAAAAATTCAAGCCCACATGGGTCTGACTTCTTAGTTCCTAGCAAAGTTTGAACTTTCTCAAAATGATTTTCATGTACTAATTGCTGTCAATGGCAAAACTAAACTAGTTTGGTATGAGATGCTCCTAAACAAAACTAAAAATTATACAAGTTCAGCAAAGATGTGGAGAAAAATGGAAGAGGTATCAGGCGTATTCCTGTGCACAAGAAGTTTTGTTGAGAAGCTATCAGGCGTTTTCCGCAGGTATGCTTCATCAGTCTTCTGACATTGAGTAGCAACAACACTTTCAGAAATTCTATAATTGCTTCCACTTTGAGAATAAACATTATCAGAACATTAATCATTTAAGGGCCGAATTTTGCGATAAAGCCCGATTAGTTCCGAGCTTAACCGTAATTTATTTCAATTAATTTCGGTTCCTTCGGAGCTTAAAATAAACCAAATAAACCGGGATGACAGGCTTACGGTTTAAGACAGGTTCTGTATGAAGTCGGTGACTATTGGCCTTGTCCCGAACGGCAAAAATCCCTTGTCCAAGGCAGTAAAAACCCTTAAAAGCAGCGATAACAACCGCAACATTATTTTTTTTCCGACAGAAACACACAGCAAAGAAGTTGTCCTAAAACCCTCCCAAAAACAAATACTGTTAGAAAGATGGCGCGAGAAAATAGTTGTTTGAGCAGAATCGCTGCCGGAGCTGCTGTCGGCGGCGCACTTGGCTGCGCTGTAGGTAAACCTCTCTCTCCCTTTCATTTTCTTTTCCGCTCCGAAAAACCATAACTCCCTTATTTAAATTTGAAGTCTTGTTTATAATTGTGTATCTCAGGTGCTGTGTATGGAACTTACGAGGCGTTTAGGTTCAGGGTAACTACTTTTTCTTTCAACATCTTTTTCAATCTTGTAATGAAATCTTTTTTGATTAGAAACTTGAGATTGTTTGATTATATCCAAGCTTAGTCTTTAGTCTTTACATATTGTGAAAACAAATCTCGATAGATGTATCATCTGTTATTTTAATTTTTTTCTGCAGGTCCCTGGGCTTATGAAGATAAGGTACATAGGGAAAACAACCATGGGCAGTGCAGCAATCTTTGGGCTTTTCCTAGGTGCTGGCAGTTTGATACAGTGTGGAAAATAAGCGTCAAGTTTGTGCCCTTGCAAAGTCTCATGGTGAAAGATTTGTTTCTTTTTATTTAATTAGTATTTTGGATGAACTCTCTCATGTGTTTTCTGCCGCTATATGAATTTTTCATCTCTTGGATTTTGATGCTTGTTATTCATTTTGCCTACTATAATACTCTTGTTAATGGAAAGATCATGTTACAAAGATCTTAGTTGCAAAGTAAAGCATAGAAAAGTGCTCGTCTTAAAGAGAATCGTTGTTTTACAACCATATGTGCAACAAAATAAGTTTTAAGCAGTGGAAGTTGATTGATTATTTACACATACACTTAGGAACAAAGATACTTTGTAACATCGCTTCCAGCTTTGCTTATCCTTAGTTCTGGTTATCCTAGAGATTACCTCTGTAATTTTATTTCATCTTCCCAAACCCTGTTTCAGTCATTGATGTGATCAAAACTATGAGAGCATATGCCTTTCTGTTGGTGTTATAAGCATATTGTATCCATAAGCTCTCTGACGCTGAAAGAATATCACTTTGCCTTAGGAACGTCTAGACATAAACCTTGAAAAAATGACCTTTGAAATCAATCAAAACCGTAAAGTGTGTACCTAAGTAGCGTGGCACATGTTCACTCCACGAGATGCCATAAACACATCACTCTCTTTACACACTATATAGTGTTAAAAGCTTATGCATTAGTTGCTCTTCCTGTTAAAATATTATCCTCTGATATAGAGGCAGTGTTAAACTTACTAATAACTATCTCATGCTTGACTTTTAATTAATGACGTAGTGAAGCGCCAACATATCATACTATTTTTTATCAACTGGTTTTACTATTTTAAAGTCCGATGGGCATAATACAAGTGATAGTGGAAGGCCCATTTCCAACATTTACAGACTCAAGATCGAAAATATATTACAATCTACCAAAGATTGATAAAACAAATAAACCATGAACTGATCAATTCTTGGCCGAAGACACTACAAAAATCGCCTCAGCGAAACAAAAACTCTTCTATCAAAGAGATCGAATTATGCTACAACAAAAGGATGAAACTCGAATCCCTCTGAAAAATAGAGATCTGGTAAGAAGGAAGTTTGAGATAGGATATTCTCTCTAAAGAAAGAGAGAGAACCCTCACACCAACTTCTTATACTATTCCTCTTGGTGATAAGGGATTTCCAATAAACTAACAAATAAGATCATATCTAAATAAGTTCAAAAAATAAAAAAGATCATATCTAAATTTCGTATAAGTAATAGTGAATGGTAAATATATAGGTTAATGGTACGTAACTAGTTAAATATTGATTAACTAGACTTCACACTTCATTCAGATATGTTTGATTTACATATAAAAACATTTTACTATAGAGAGAATTGCAAAATGAAATCCATTCAATTTTCAATTGTCCTAATATGATTTCATGTTTTAGTTTTATTAATATTAAACATTTTAAAAATATGAAAAATATTAGGAAAAAAAGTAAAAATCTATATATATGTTTTCAAAATAAATATTTAAATCTTATTTATTTTAGTTTTTGCGTTGGCATACCAAACCCATTTTGATTATTTAACTAGTCTAAAAATGTTTTTTATTACTATCTATATATATAGCTTACACCACATAAACTTCTGGTAAGACATAAAAGATAATTGACTTTGCATTAATACATGTACAACTTCCAAATCCTTGCAATTTCCAAACTTTTTTGAGGAATTTGGAGGTAGTGAATGGATGAGAGAATGATATAATAAGGTTGGAAACAAAAAATTAGCTCATAAATAATTGGCTGGAGTCAAAATTTTGCAGTGATATGTAAATTTCAATTAAGACATCTGATTTTCTCTCTTAGCCACATGTACTCATTTTGTGCATCAGCTTTTAAAAATTTATTCGTTTTAGAATGTTTCTATTGGTGGATTAATGTTATAGTAGATTCCATGTTTAATTTACCTTTATTTTTTTCATTATTATTTATTCCGTTTATAGAATTTATACTACTTAACTTTTTATTTCACTTATGCTGTATATACTATGCTGTTTTTTTTTTGGACTTTCTGTATAAACTCTCTTTCGGTTCTTGTGTTACAGTTTTTTCAGATGATAGATTATGTTTGTCGCGCTCTCTATATATTTATTCAAGTATACCTTAATAAATAGTTTGATTCTAGAAACTACAATAAGTGAATAATAACAGATTTTTCTAATTGTATTTAACTGATGATATTTTCTATATCTTCAGTAATTATCTTTTTAAAATTATATACAAGATCATGTTAGATTGTGTGATTATCAACATGCTTTTGAAAAGGCAGAGTTGGGAACATACCTTCCTTTGTAAGACATAAACAAGGATTTGTATTTTACTGAATCATGAATCATAAAATGAAAGCTTTTGTTGATTGATTCGTGATCTTCGTTCAAATTGCCATATGTATATTATTTCTAACTAAATCAGTTTACTTTCTTTATTTTTATTAAGCTTTTCTTGGATTGAATTTATGAGCTAAAGCATGTTGTATAGTTATAAAAAACTGGTAAAATATATGGGGGTATTGGATCTAAACATTTGATTTAATACTATGAGAAAATTGAATATTTCATTAAATTAGACTGTTGTACAATTATATATTTCATTAAATTAGACTGTTGTACAATTATATATTTCATCAATTTTTTTTTTAAAAATTTGTGTTACTGAATTAGACACTTGTAATCATTCTTCTAATATTTTAAAATTTTCTTTTATATAATTTAATAATTTTCTAGTCCTATTAAACATTTGTGTTAGTCATTTTTTTGGTGGATTTCAAAATAGAAGTATTTGAAAGAAATTTAATAGAAAAATTATGATAAAAGGTATTAAACACCAATTATATGTTTTTACACTAGAATTTAAATAGAATTATTTATATCATTTATCTATCTAATATATACATAAATAATTATGTGAAGATTATTGATCACTATAATAAGATAGCTTTCAAAATACATTTTTCATTATAATTTGTAAAACTAGATTATCATCATGATGAATGACAAAAAGTATCAGGACCCCTTTGATTATTTTCCTCTCAAATTTATTCATAAATAATTTATAAATAGTTTTTCTTTTAAACTTTGTATTCAACTACATATTATCTTTTAAGTTTTTCTTGTTTTTTTTGTTAATTAATTTTTGATTAGTCAAAGTTTTTTTAAAAAGTTTTATTGCGATGTTTTCTTAAATTATTTTTTATTAATATAAAATATATAAATGGTTAGTTTTTATTTATTTTCATTAGTCAATTTTTTGCCCTTTTTATATAAACATTTTTTATTTGGCCTTTTATTTAAAGATAAAAAATCTTATGTAGAAGAATAAGTTTTTATCAATTTCTTTGTAAGTTTATTAAATCTAAAATATTAAAATTACAAAATGTATTAAAATCCTCAGCAAATCTTTTAAAATATTTTAAGCTCTTACTTGTATATTTATTTTAAATCATTTAATTTCTTTAATAAGGTTAGTGGAGTCGTGGACTCACGTATCTTTTAAGCAAATCTGATAAAACTAAAATTAATTATGGGATTTCCTTCCCCGTATAGAGAATATAAGCCAATGATATTTACTTAAATTGTAATATTGTACCGTAAAAAATGTACATCCGCTGCATGACACTTCAGCACGTTGCCCTCTTAAGTTTTAAACTTTTCGAAAAATAAAAATAGTTAAACAAGTATCATTAAAAAAGTGTTTCTGATAAAGATCTACACAAGCCAATGTACATTCAGTTGACACATCATCCTCTGTTATCCTCAGAAAAGGACAGAGCTAATACAGACAACTTCAGAGTCTTATTAATCATAATCTTGCCATTAACCACGATTTTAAAGGAGCTAAACACGAGTCATTAACTCATTATTACTCTTCTACTAATCTTATCACTCTCCAACGCTCCAAATCATTATCTTCATTAAATTATAAAATAGCCCCATAACAATCCGAGACTCACTATTCAACCCCTACCTTTTATCTAATCTCTCCTTTTCCTACATCTGTCTCTTCCTCCTCCTCCCTGTTGTTGTTCATACCGATTTATAACAGTTTATAAATCAACCTATGAATTCATATGTCTAGAATCTCATGTTAATACTGAAATAAATCTAGATCTTTAGGGTTTCGAATATACCTGGTTATTCGCAGCGGAAAGATGAATACACCAAGTCGAGATTTCAAGCACTCCAAATGTCGTGCCTCTACTGGTATCCACACGC